AAACCTTATTAGGAATTAATGAACAAAAAAAAAAAAAAATAGTTTAACACTATACTATAGGCACATCTGTAAGGGCAAGATGCATTGTAAGAAGCCTGTATGAGTTTTATCCATATACAATTTATTATAATTTTGCTATTAACGTTTTCTGTTAACCAAATGCAATAAGGAAAAGAATCAGGATTCTGACATAGACATAAGATATTTCCATATAAAACAGGAAACATCAATCAATAAACTGGGATCACCATGTGGTTAAATGAACACTCCAAACACGTAAAGCACTTAACCTTGCTGGAGTGTGTCCTCTTTTTATATAAGTGCTGATCTTAATAGAAATTATCCTTGTAACACCCTCCCCCCCATCGCATGTCAATGAGACCACTGGTCCTTTAATCTCCTCATAGCTTAGCTCAGGGGAGCTAAACACAAGAGGCAGACTAGTTTTTAAGATAGTCCAAAGTAAAAAAATGCATAATTAAATGCCTGCATTTTGTCATTGGGGTGCAGAGAAAAATTGCAGGAAAAAAAAAAAAAGGTACATAAGCACATCACGTCAACCAGCAATGAACACCTATGATTAATGGCAAGTGATGATAAGAGCTAATGGATTCTGCGATCCTTCCAGGAACATACAATACCTCAAGCACTTTCTTCCTTATGGCAGGAATTAAATTGTTATCGTATAACGCTTTCAAAAGTCGAAACGTGTTACCACCACCTGCAGGCACAAAACATTGTCATTTAATGTCTACAAAGGAAACAGAATGTGCAACAGAACATGAGATCATTCTTTATATATCTACTTCAATATTAACACCTCCCTTGTCTTTTTCTTGTCAGTCCTTAAAGGACCACTCTAGGCACCCAGACCACTTCAGCTTAATGAAGTGGTCTGGGTGCCAGGTCCTTCTAGGGTTAACCATTTTTTTTCATATTATAGCAGTTTCAGAGAGCTGCTTGTAAATTATAGTCGTTAACTAAAACACTCTGAGTGGCTGTCTGTTGACAGCCACTACAAATCTTCTCACTGTGATTTTCACGGTGAGAGCACGCTCCAGCGTCTATAGAGGAAGCATTGTAAAGTACTTTCCTATGAGACTGACTGAATCTTTTGGCGCAGCTCTTGCCTTTGATGGCATTCAGTGTCAACGGAGGGAGGATGGGAGGCTCTCCATGGCTACAAGGAAAAGGTAAGTTTTTACCCCTTTCCCCCTTCCAGAGCCGGGCGGGAGGGGGTCCCTGAGGGTGGGGGCACCCTCAGGGCACTATAGTGCCAGGAAAACGAGTATGTTTTCCTGGCACTATAGTGGTCCTTTAAGCAATGTTTGACCAGCTATAAGCAATATGCAATTATTATTATTATTGCAAAGTCTTGAACCAGGAAAGAGACATTCAAATATTTTCTGGTTTCTAAGTATATCATTGGGATGTTACTATTACCCAATTTAATGGCACACATTTTATTTACATTAAATGACCACTCTAGGCACCCAGACCACTTCAGCTTAATGAAGTGGTCTGGGTGCCAGGTCCAGCTAGGGTTAACCCATTTTTTAATAAACATAGCAGTTTCAGAGAAACTGCTATGTTTATTAATGGGTTAAGCCTTCCCCCTAATCCTCTAGTGGCTCATTTGGCCCAGCCACACTAGGCTTAGATGCTTCTCACTGTGAGGAAACGCGCCAGCGTCTATAGGAGAAAACATTGTAATGCTTTCCCTGTAGAACCCGGCTGAATCTGCAGCGGCGCAGCTCAGCGCATGGCGTGCGCATTCTCGGCCGGCAGGAAAACAGCCAGGAGGGAGGAGAGGGGGAGGCAGAAGAGCTCCCGCCCAGCGCTGGAAAAAGGTAAGTTTTAACCCCTTTCCCCTTTCCAGAGCCGGGTGGGAGGGGGTCCCTGAGGGTGGGGGCACCCTCAGGGCACTATAGTGCCAGGAAAACGAGTATGTTTTCCTGGCACTATAGTGGTCCTTTAAGGACTGAGTCAGCCCTGCAGGGAATTGAACCGGTGAGCCCCAATTGACAAACAGTTTCTGCTGATGAAGTATTAGCCGACTGAGCTATCTCACCACACTCAGTTGAGGCAGCTGCAATAAAAGATTTAACAGAGGCCTAGGAATAAGTGAATCCAGCGGTTATAATAAAAGGCCCAACAGAGGCCTAGGAAAAAGCTAGCTGCTATATTAAAAGGCATAACAAATGCCTAGAAAAAAGTGACTCCAGTGGCAGTATTAAAAGCCATAAGGCCTAGGAATAAAACACAGACGCCGATGTCCTGCCTTGACTAGCATGCTAGGTGTAAATTTTGGTTGCTAGGTCGGGGAGATCGGCGAAATTAAGCAGACTCTGTTGTATATTATAGTTTGCTAGATTTCACCCTATCTTAACTAAGTGTGCTCTGTTGTAAATCCAGCCACTAGATTATTGATAGTGTAA